TGGGCGGGGGAGGACAGAAAACTGCAAACAAGCCAAAACGGACTGTTGCGAGCTTGACCTCATCGGCACTATATAGCTTCGTGGGACTACACGAATGTGGAAGCCAACAGTGCGTTGTCAAGATAAACAAGGTTATAGGGCTATGGTGAATACGCACAGCCAAATGTTCACTCAGCGATAACAGGGTTTGCGACCATCCCCTTGCGAGCTTTGTGTTCTAATAACTGCGCTAAACTGTGAGGTCAGACTTATGGGGTGTCCGATGTTCCTCGCGGTCTGATCAGCGGACTCAGCTTTCACTCAAGTCCATTCGAGGAAATAGCGTTCGAAGCGGCAAACGGCCCTGTAGCAAAACAGGGCTAATCTGCATGTATGATGGCACAAATCCGCACTTGCAGCCTTTTTTGGGCGATGGTTCATTAAGTTTCCAAGCCCAAGAGCACCTCAATATTACTCTGAAACCGATGTGGAACTGCTGGTCGGACGGAAAAGGTAGTTCTGGCGGCTACATTCATAATAGCAGTGCCTTATACTGACAAAGACCATCATCTAGTACACAAAGTTGCATATTTACCTGTCCAGCGCCCGCATAAGAAGAAATATATCTTATAAAAGGTACCATTTCAATCATTGTGTGCCTCAAGAAAGTCTGATTTAAAATACTTTCTGAGAACTTCGGTTAAAAAGAGTGGACATTAAAGCATAATAGTGCATTCTGTTTGACATAGAGCAGTTGTAGGTGTCCTGTAAATTATAGAGGGAATGGAATGCGGGCTCTCGTGGTCGTTCAATTGTTGGTTCACAGCAAGCGACTTTTGAGAAACGAAAACGGCTACACTAAGTCCCAGTTAGCGAGGTGCCCGATTCATAAGGTGGACAATGTCCTTCAGAAATAGAGTATGTTAGAAACCACCAGAAACGGATGAATCGCAGGGAACTTCTATGCGATACTTTTGAAGAACTCAATGGCAATCTTTACAATATTTGTGCTTAACTCGGCAGCAGAAATTCAACTGCGAATATATAAGCATGTTGACATTCTGAAAAAAAAATGCTTCACCCCACTTCCAAACGATAGGGCTGCTACATGTCTCGGTGCACGCTTCGCTTACTTTTAGGACAGCGTGCTGCAAACGCAGGGAATTCGGCCCATCAGCAGGCCTTATAATGTTTTTAAGCCCTTTGGTGGAAATCCAGATTGGAGATGTACTGGTCAATTTACGTCTGATGTTCTTTAATAGACGTACGGGCACGTTTTTTTGTCTTTGGCATAAATTTTAACGTAGACCTCCGAAGTGATGTCCTTGGATCTTAACAGAAAGACCGCTTGCCGTTTATATGTGCATAACAAAAACCAAAACACACCTGCAGTACCCTACTAATATGGCTTCTGACCAAAGAAATCAGATAGAATTATGACCTCGGAAGTAGCCAATGATACTTGTTCCATTTTGTGCGACAATAACACGAAACGGCGGCCAGCTCTGCAGGGATTTGTTTGAGAATTGGGCTGCCCCTATTCCGTCTTTTCAACGCAATCTGCGCTTGTCAAACGCACAGGCGCTAGTCTCTACATTCATCCAGAAAAGGTTTTGAGAGAAAATGTTCCCAGAGCACTCATC